GCATGTGATATCAATGATATTGTTCGATAATTTCCACACTCTGTTGGGTCACCTTTCTTTGGAATGGGAACAAATATTGATCTCTTCCAGTCAGTTGCCAGCTGGCTGTCCTCCAGATTTCCTGGCACAACTTAGTGAGCACATCCAGGGCAGCATCTGTTTGTTGAAATAAATCAATTGGTATGCTGTCAACTACTGGAGCCTTGTTTTTTGCCAATTCCTTCATAGCTCTCTCTATATATGAATATACACACACCACACACACACACACACACTCTCTCTCTCTCTCTCTTCTTTAAAAGGGAAAGAGGAGAGGTATGGAAGAAGGAAATCACCAGGACAGCAAAGATTAGTAGAGGGATGGGGGGAGGGACAGTAAACAGATAGGGAAGGAACAATAGGGACTTGAGGCAGTGATGTCTCTGAATTATGGTGTTAATGAAAAATAGCAAACACACAATAGTCTTATCAAAAGAAAAGAAGTTCCAGTAGGTATTTCATCGTGTGTTACACTGCTAACCCAAGGCTTGGGTCTCCAGCAGTTCAAATCCAGGAGTGGCTCTGTAGGAGAAAGTTGGACAGTGTCCTCTTGTTAAAACCTACAGCCTCACAACCTGATGGAGGGTACTGCACAGCTGACAGTGACTCAATGGCAGTGGAGTTTGAGTTTGAGCCAAAAGGACACACGCATCTGCTTCGGATGCAGAATGTTATTCAAAAGCCAATATATTGCTCTGGACATGATGCTTGGAAATGATCATTCAAGGAGGAAGACCTCTACAAGATGGATTAACACACTGGCTGCAGCAACAGGCTCAGGCCCAGAAGAGCAGGAGGCCACCGCTGGCTCGGGCCGAGTTTCATCCTGGAGTAGGAGGTCTTCCTGAGTCTGTTGTCTGCTGCTATCACACACAGGAAGCTATCAAGGAGCCTGGGAGCGTGTGAGCACCCAGCTGTTACGTGAAAGGTCTGCAGTGTGAACTCACCAGGGATAGTTTCTGTGAAGATCTTCAGCCTTCAGGACTTTATGGGGGAGTTCTACTCTGTCCTACACCAACATGAGAGTCAGAACTGACAAAAGGTCAGGGTTGTTATACCTCACTAGCACCAGCAGAGGGCACCCGACTCAGAGGTCAGAGAAGACCCCAGGACACGAATTCTTAATTTGAAGTTCAGCTGCAAAGTGGAGTACAAAATAAAGATCCAATATAAACCCCTTCCAAAGGCCACTGAACTATCCCCCAACAACCCTAATTAATAATACATCCATCCTACAACCTACCTAAACTGACACAAACCAAAACTGAACATCTGAACAGACCCATTACAAAAGAAGAAATTGAAAAGGTAATACAACAACT